AGTTTTAATTCTAATAAAATAGTTGCATGTAAAGCTATAGGGTTTTGCAATATGTAAATTATATATATGACGCTTATAAATTCGGGATTTTTAGGAATATCGTATGCGTCACGTGATAATGAGGCCTGGGTCCTGGGTCACGTGGATTTCACGATCATCCAATTTCACCATCATCCGTGACATTTACTATATCTATTGTATTTAGAATGTAGAATTATCTAAAGAAATCGAAGAATTGACAAACAAAGAAGCGACACTTTCTGAAGTTGTCTATATTATGGATTAACTTGTTTGAAATGATCTTTTGTTAGACTACATTGAGATGTTCTTTGAAAAAAAATAAAGTTCCTTAATATTACACGTGAGATAATAAAGTGATAACTGGTGGACTAGCGATGTTATTGTTTATTGTTGCCAATCATCTGATATCTTTCTTCTAGTAATATCATTATACTTAAGTTTTAAATTACGTGTATCTTTACATGTGTTAATTATTATTACCTTTATAATTATATGGATTGTATGAAGAATCTTGCCGTACGATTTTCAAAGTAACTGTTAATCAGATGTTACTACTGCAACGAAATTACTGCTCAAAACAAATCCGTGTCAGAAAGAAAATTGCCAGTGTCTCAAGGGAAGTATAAATTTCATGTATTGGGCTTGTTTATTCATTCATTTAGATATTCACTTCTGTGTTCTTTTGGCTCTTAGTTCATACCCTGGCCTAAACCGAGCAGTCACTGTGACGAAAGTCTTTTTTGGCTTCCCGAGTGGTTTGCAATGAAGGGGTCAGGTAGAACTTCGTGGAACGGGATAGGCAGAGTTGCCAGGAATCTAATCTTATAGTTTTGAAATAGTATCACGTTTCTGGTGACAGTGATGCACCCCTGGTGCCAATATATTAGATACTACTCAAACCTCTATGATGATACAAATGAAATATATTAATTCTGAGAGGTTTAGCAAAAAAAAGCTTCATATATTCAAGGAATTATGCCAACGATACACAACAATTATATAGAAGTTATCAAACTCAAATTTGGTTAACTCGCTTATTTTTTCATTCTCTAGGTAATAATTTTTTCAGAAAAAAACACGCGTAGAATGTAGATTATAAAACACGCACAGGATTGTCTAAGAATTTATTTAACTAAATTTTTGTTTCCATATCAAAGAATATAATTTTATTAATGCATCTATTATGTTCACATATTTACTACTTCAATATTTGTACAAATAGAACAAAATAATAAAATCTCATCTTATCTACAAGACATTTTATAAGAAAATTATGCCTCGAAACCAAAAGAGTGGTGTACCAAGAGAAGATGAATTTATTACCCGTCGAGTCGAATAGTTTACTCAAGTTTTTGCGATGTTATTTTTTCCTTAGGTATTATTTTTAGTGTAAGTTTAATTTTAAATTTATAATATTGCTTTAGAAAAATTCTCTGTTTTTTTTTTTTTAGCTAAATTCGTATTTTTTTTGCATTTAGGTATTTAAATTTATCAATTAGACCTTTGTTACTGTAAATTTTATTTCTCTTACTATTTTTGTTTTGCTTCATATAGTTAATGTTTTTTTTTTTTTTACATTTTACAGTCACGAAGACATGGAAAATGTCTACAGAATTAATTTCTTTATGTTTGGTTCTGGTGCGTTGGTAACTTTATTACTCAATAAAAGAGTAATCAAAGATGTAGTATTAATTTCAAGAATTGCGATTTCAACGTGGAAGTGGTATTCGTTCGTTAACTATGGCAGCTTTTCTTGTTTAAATAACGTTAACATTGATTGGTATTCTGATTCGAATTACCTTGGTTTGATTTGGTTATTGGGTATATGTATAACATTCATTAAGTTTTTTGACTCGAGCATCAATCGTTTTGCACAATCAGGATCTTTTCGTAAAATTTTGGAATATACACTTTTTTTGTCTATATGCATTTTTTTCTCTTTTATTCATTCATTAGCTTCGCTCGGTATTCTGAATTGAAATACATGAGATAGTTTTGTTTGAACGTTTATTTTAATTGCATGCTACACTAAATTTGCATAAATTTTTACTTCATTTGATTATTACACTAAGTTCAAAATTTAAAAAAGCATTTATTAATGAGTCAGTCAATAAACTTCTTAATTTCGATAATATCACATGAAATTTTACTTCATATAAATGATGATTTGAAAATAAATAATCCACACATATAATAATCTATTTCGACAATAGCTCTTTAACAGGTAAATCATGTGGTTTTAACATCTTTCTGAAGCGAATCGTGTGTATAGTTGTTGAAACCATGTGATGCCAAATATCACCTGTCACAAAATACCAAGACCTAAAAATTTAATCTAATTTTTATTAAGATTTGATATGTGATATTTAGCATCACATAGTTTTGTCTAACAACTATAATTGTGTGAAATTTTATTTTGTTTATGTAATCTAAAAAATTCGGACTGTTCATAACAATTGACAGAGATTTGATGATATAAATAATCCACAGGTTACTTTAAGCTGATGAATATCTATAGATTAAAGTAACTCAGAGATTGTTATTGTATTTTAAAAAACCTATAATTTAAAGTTCAAATCCGGTTATACATTTTTTATGTATATTCTAAAAAATATTGAATTTTTTATATAACAATTAATTTGTAATTCCAAATTTGGTACTAATTTAATGCAGGTACGTACTAATTTAATACAATAAAGGCCACCACGAACTGTTTGTAGATCCTAACAGTTTTCAGAAATAATCAGCTGTAATGCGGGCCAAACCCTGTTACGTTGGCAAACGGTTCACATGTGAGCCGTTTGCCGACTTAACAGTTTTTGGCCCACATTAACGGACCCCTGTTTTGGAAATAATTAACCATAATTCGAGCCAAAAACTTTAAGGTTGGCAAACGGTTCACATCTCTAGTACTGTGCTTTTTGCAATTAGTTTTAAAACATATGTCGCAATGATGTGGGTGGCATTAAAAATCGTCTGGTTAAAATAATAACCATAACCAAGTGGAGCTGTAAGGTCAAATCTCTAATTTGGTATAGAATTTTTGAAATTCAGAAAATATTAGAATAACAAAGCTTTGTTGTCTGAAACTTCAACCCAATAAATGGTGAAAAATTAATTATAAGATCCAGTTGCCCAAGACTTATAGTGATAAAAGCATATGTTTGTTTAATCATCGGCTTAATAAGCTTAATACGATATTAATCTAATTATATTAATGTACCTGTTTAGTCTTAAAATCATTTACTTCCCTTTCTGCATTTTCATAACATTTAATAGCATTGTTCTTTGAAAATGTCTGATACACTGCCTCTTTAAACCAATGTAACGTATTTTCTGGTGACAGTATGATTTTGTAATAATGAACGTTTTATAAACCCTTTAATGTTAAAACAATTTAATGGAGTTTTCTGAGTGAATTCCTAAAAAAATTTTATAGTAGGTATGTTAAAATCGAATTAAGAATTGATGTATATTTATTTGAATATTACCAGAAAGTTATCTGAAGTCAGAGCATTGAACGGGAAGTCATTTTCAAATGCACCTTTCTCAATACGCAACTTGGTCATAAAAATATTAGGATATGTAACTGTAATTTTAAAAAATATATATATGTTATAGATAAATACCCTATCATTATTATCTTGAAAGCTTACAAAAATAAATTTTGGCTCACTAGGAGGCATTACAAATTATCGCGCAACAGCTTTTTCCCAAGACCATTTTAAATGAGAATCAATTTTTCGATTAATTCACACCCCTATATGTACTTAAATAAGTAACTGGTTTAACACCTCTAATTACTGCAAGCAATTAGAAAAGTTTACAGTTGTGAACTTGGGTCGCTCCGAAGAATTATTCAAATAAAGAGAAGTTCTTTTTTAAGGGTAGGGTGTAACTATTTCCAAATTCATATAAAATAGATTGTAGATCAACTTTATGTAACCAATATCATATGGTATCATATGATTTACGTGTAAACAACACATGATTTGACCAATCATAATTAGCAATTATTTGTGTAACCAGGGAAAAACATATAGCGTCCAGGGAAATTTTTAGTTATATGTAAAGTTAATTTTTTTAAAAACAAAATGTAGTGTAAAACTTTATTATTATAAATAAACTATTTTAAACTACATATTGTATAAATTTGATACAAATTGGTTGAGATATTAAAAAGTTTTATTAGAAGCATTTTTTTGTTTACTATGTAAAAATTCAATATACCACGTAGATCATATGAAAATTGATCTATATACACTCTACCCTTAATAATCACAAAGCTTTCCCAGCTTATACTGTATAATTCCTATACGAACCTATGCCGAAATTTATTTTGCGGAAATACAGTAGCTTTGAAAATTTAGGGACGCACAATTTGTTATGAGCTAAAAACTCTAAGAGTTCCTTCATTTTATGAATATTTTATTTTATTATAATTAAATAATAACCAAAATTTTAGAACCTTAATTACCGAATTAGCATAATTGAAAATCTTAACATTAACATAATTTTTAAATTTTAACATTAACATAATTTTAAAACTTAATATTATCATAATTTTTAAATCATAATCAACAATTTAAATAATAAATATTAAGTGACATAATTAAAGATTTAATCTTAAGATAATTAAAATTAAAGCAAATATATAGTTGAATATAACTTTACAGTAAATTGAATTAAAGTGCGCTATTCAACTAAAATAAGTGAAAGAATCTATTTAATCATCGAATCCACTGGAAAAATATATTTCGCAAATAAAAGGTACTAACCTTATCATTTCCCTTTTTTCTTATACGTCTCCACTATTAAATCAACCAGTGATTCAAATTTACCTTTATCAACTTCTTGAAGATAATTAATCGAAATATCCAAACCTCTGATTAGAGTTAATACCTCTATCCGGATTTATATATCCGGATATATACTATGTCATGTGATATAGCGTGACATAATGCTTT